GTAGGGAAAACTGAAGCGGCGGAGCCGCTGTCCTGGACGCCGACCCGGACGGAGGCGGACAGCACTGTCACCCCAACGGCGTTCCGCCCCTTGTATGGAAGGAAACGCCGCTGGGGGACCGCAGACGTCTTTTCTCCCAGGCGTTTCCCCCATTCCCTCTTGGAGAAGGAGGACCCTGTGGGGCTGGGGATTTGGAGCAAGGGGTGCACATCCTCCAGGAACGGAGTCCCAGCGGTTTGTTTTCGCCGAGAGCACGCACAGGCAGTCTGCGCCCTGCCTTTACCCGGAGGCGCCCAGTCCAGCAGTCTCACTGTGCGAGCCCCCAGCGACCTTGTCGCTGGACTAGCCGAGGCCATGGAGAGCTGCTGTGTCCAAAGAGGCTGCAGCTCGCCTGTGAACCTGGCCTGCATCACCTTCGCGCTGGGAGGAAGGCAGATTCGTTTACCCCAGACCCTAGTCAGGGGTCGGGCCGCGGGAGTCAGCCCGGAGCGGCGCGGGAGACGCAGCCCCGCCTCTCTGCCAGGCTCAGGTTTCGACCCGGGATTAGGTGAACTGATTCGGGGTTAATGATCGGGCTCGCGCCCCGATCTCGGCTCTGACCGCTGCCAACGCAGCCGGCACTCTTGGGCGTCCTAACTTACTTTCTCCTAACTCGGTCTCCACGAATTTGGGATTTCGCGCGTTTCCCAGCCCGCGCGCGCGAATCCGGCTCCTCTTCCCAAGGACAAGGTTTTTGATGAGCAGACTGGAAAGTACTTTTTCCAGGACCTGGTTTCCCAGGTTAGACCTCCATGGTCCTCGGTGTCTGGAAGCGGCCTGGGCCCTTTACCAACGCACCCAAGGCTCCGGGGTCAACTCTGGTGGGACACAAGTGAGGGACTATTGAGATCACCCGAATGAGTTTCTCTCGGGGCGTGGGCTGGTCTCCTGCACACCCTCACCTTCCTGTCCTTCCCGCCTCGTTCCTCTAGCTTCTGCTGCCCCCAGTCGCAGCTACGGTGGCCCCCTCCACCCGCCCTTCAGCGTTGCCTAAAGCCCTCCGCTCCAGCTTCCTTTCGCTCCAGCTTCCAGCCGGCTCTGGGAGGTCCTGGCTTCTTGTCCCTTCCGGGTGCGTGACCACCGACGCATCCCGGTCCCCCGTAGTGTTCCGGGCGTCTCCGCCCTCCCTCCCCAGACCTAAAGCGAAGTACGTGGTAGTGTTGGGGTGTCTCCGGAGAGTCGGATGCGGGAGAGAGCCCTGCTAGCGAAGGGGAGGAGCCGGGAGGGGGGCGTGGGCAGGGCAGGGGAAGGGCCTGAGCCCTGGCCCCGGGACGGGTTTGTACTGCTGAGCGGTGGCGGTGGCGGCGGCGGAGGCGAGCTCGAGCCACCTGTCCGAGTGCCACCTGGTGAGCGCGGCGCAGCAGGGCCAAGCCCCTCCTCCCGCAGGCTTTCTTGGCTCCTCCCTGGCGCGCGCTCTCTCCACTCGGGTGCCCAGTACCCTGCCACCGAGTGTGCAGACCCGCGTTTTCACCGGTCGTTCTCCGCTTTTAGGTTTCGGTTGGGCCGGAGTGACCGCGGGCTCTAGCAGTTCCAGGGACCCGTGAAACGGAGTTGGGAGAGCGCTGGGCCACCATGCCGCGCTCATTCCTAGTCAAGAGCAAGAAGGCTCACAGCTACCACCAGCCACGCTCCCCAGGACCAGATTATTCCCTTCGTTTGGAGACTGTACCCGCGCCCGGCCGAGCAGGTGCGAAGCGCGCGGACCAGGCGGGGCTGTTGCCCCGGACGCCGACTCAGCAGCCAGCCACACCATTCCCTGGGAACTGGGATAGGCGACTCCAACCGCCCCTTTTGCTGCCGTTTTTGTTTTCTGGTTCCTGTCCTGGTTCCTCCCGGGTTTATCACTAGGCGCCACGGCCTCTCTCTGCTCCTCGGGAGGGTTCCGGCCGGCTGGGTCTGCACAGAGAGGGTAGGAAGCTCAGGGGCAACGGCCTGGGGGCGCCACTCCGGAGCCCTAGGGCGCAGCCGGGCCCAGTCTGAGCTCCTCTCCTGCCTCCTTTTCACAGACAGCACCGTGAGTGCAGGCGGGGGGGCGATGAATTCCCTGGGAACTGGGATAGGCGACTCCAACCGCCCCTTTTGCTGCCGTTTTTGTTTTCTGGTTCCTGTCCTGGTTCCTCCCGGGTTTATCACTAGGCGCCACGGCCTCTCTCTGCTCCTCGGGAGGGTTCCGGCCGGCTGGGTCTGCACAGAGAGGGTAGGAAGCTCAGGGGCAACGGCCTGGGGGCGCCACTCCGGAGCCCTAGGGCGCAGCCGGGCCCAGTCTGAGCTCCTCTCCTGCCTCCTTTTCACAGACAGCACCGTGAGTGCAGGCGGGGGAGCGAAGGCGGAGCCCGGGGACCGTTTGTCTCCCGAGTCGCTGATGACCGAAGCCCCCGACAGAGCCTCCACATCTCCGGACAGCTGCGAGGGCAGCGTCTGCGACCGGAGCTCCGAGTTTGAGGACTTCTGGAGGCCTCCATCGCCTTCCGTGTCTCCAGGTAGGGATCCGTTGGAGCTCCTGGTGCAGAGCGGCCTTGGACGCAGAAATGTTAAATGGGTGGCGGAGAGTCTTCCCTGGAGCGGGGAGCCTGTGCCTGGGGAGAAGGAGCCCAGTCTGTCTGCTCTAGGACTAGGGCAGCTTGCCTCTGGGTCTGCTGCTGCCCCCATTCAAGGCGGAGGGACCCTGGCTACTCATCCCTTACGTTCGTTTTCGGGGAGCTGGCAGGTGAAGGAAAACCAGTTGTCTGGACCTGCAGCAGCGTTGATATTTCGTTGACGTTTAAAAGTGATCCCAGAATCTAGATACCACAGCCTCGGACAGCGGAGACCTGGGCAGTCCGGGCCTGGCGAAGCTAGGCGCCAGGAGGAAGGGTCCCCCACAAAAATCTCAGCCCACATCTCGGCCTTGAAAGGAAGGAATAGGGGGCCTGTTTCACTTTTCGTTCTGCCAGGTTAGCTCAGCCTGGGGGACCAGGCTTCTGGGTTTCATTTCCAGCCAGCGATTGAGCTAGGGCAAACCAAGAGACTCCACCTTGGGTGGTGGCTAGTCGCGGGTCGGGCGGGGCGAAGGAAGGAGCAGACCGGATTCTGCCAAGGCCTGGTTATTTCCAAGGTACATGTACTAGTTTTAAAAGATAATGCCACCCATCCCACACAGCCACTGGATTTGGCTAAAGCCTAGTTCCAGCGGGTGTGGCTGGGAGCTTGCAGCTGTGGGTTCTTGCCCTCTGTGGATGCCCGTACTAGGCACCACAGCCAGAACCCTCTGATGGGAAACTCGGGGACAGCCTCTCACTGAACCCGCCAGCCTGGAATGGAGGCTGCGGGTGTGCGTGTGTAAGCAGATGTGTAAATGTGTATGCACTCGGTTATGCTGGGTGTCTAGTTTTAGCAAAACTCTCGTGGGTGGAGCTGTAGCGGGGGAGGATTCACAAGCTATTCCTTTTTTCAGGTGGTGGCTAAACCTTATTAATTGTAAAGTTATTCTCTAAGAAATTTACACTGTTACAGGAATAGGAGTGGGGAGTATTTGGCAGGCAGTTCAAGCCCAAAATCTCTTTCCCACTGTCCCTTGGCTACCTACTGGGCACTGAAGAATTTTGAGAAATCTTAACGGCTTCTGTTTTGTTTTTGTTTTTGTTTTTAGACGCGTTTGTGTTGGGTAGTTTCCCGCATTTTATTGGTCCTGTCCCTCCTTTTTCATCAATACTGGGAAGAAAAAAGATTGAGGGGAAAGTGCCTGTGCTAATCGCTGGACCTTCCGCCCACGATTGCTGTCAGCGCCCTAGCGAGCCTGGCTCCTCCTCCCGTTGAGCGCAACTCAGAGTTTTTATTGGCTCGCCTTTCCTTACGAGGCTGCCAGGTGTGCGGATCCAGCCAGAGACGATCCTCCTAACGCCCGAGCGCGTCCTCAGCCCTAGCACCTAACTTACCTGTCCGCCCCCTGATGTCGTTTCTATGATCTGTTTACTCTCCTGTCGTTTTCAGGGACTCGCGAGGCCTCAGGAGCCCAGCCTGAGTTTTACCTGGGGTGCTCTACAAAGGCTGGGTGCCTGACAGCAAGCGCAGTGTCCGCAGACGCCTCGCTGTCTGGCCTCTACCTCCCTCTCCCCCCCCCCCCAAAGGTTTCTGCCATAGGGTGCCTGCACTCATCAAACAGATACAGAGAGACAATGAAAGGGAAAGTGAGAAATCACCCTGTGGGGAGGATGGGCCACAATTCCTTCTCCATTCTCCGGTGATGTGGGGTACCATGCACACGTGCCCGGGGTGATTTTTGAGTCCCCAGGTCCGGGACTCGAACCGTGGTCGACCACACGGAAGTCCAGCACCGTAACCGCTACACCACCTGCTGTCCCCTGGCCCCCGGTCTGAAGCCTAACGGACACCCTCTATTGCCTCCGTAGCCTCCGAGAAGTCGTTGTGCCAGTCGTTGGACGAGGCCCAGCCTTTCCCTCTGCCTTTCAAACCGTATTCGTGGAGCGGCCTGGCGGGTTCTGACCTGCGGCACCTCGTGCAGAACTACCGGCCGTGTGCGGCCCTGGAGCGAGGCGCCAGCCTGGGCCTCTTCTGCGAGCGCACCCCAGAGCCGAGCCACCCCGCCGCTCTGTACGGTGCCGAGCGTGCTGCTGGTGGTGCCGGGGCCGGAGCGCCAGGGAGCTGCAGCGCGGGAGGCGGTGTCGCCGGCAGCTCGGGCCTGGGGCTCTTCGGCGACTTCGGGCCGGCCGCTGCCGGGCCCCCCGCCTGCTGCTGGGCGGCGGCTCCTACAAGTGCATCAAATGCAGCAAGGTGAGGCTCCCGCGCGCCCGGCCTCGTCGGCCCTGCGCCCGCGTTCCCGGCCCACACCCCACTAGCGCTGGCGCCCCGCGGCCCCTCTCAGCGGCCTTCTCCCCGGCCCCACCCGCCTCAGGTGTTCTCCACGCCGCACGGGCTCGAAGTGCACGTGCGCAGGTCCCACAGCGGCACAAGACCCTTTGCCTGCGAGATGTGCGGCAAGACCTTTGGGCACGCGGTGAGCCTGGAGCAGCACAAAGCCGTGCACTCGCAGGTAAGCGCCGGGCGCACGGCCGCGCTCTGCTCAGGTTTTCCCGCTCGGGATCGTCGGCTTCTCCTCCGTGCGGCATCAGCGGCTCTTCACCTGGCAGTCTTCTCCCCGACTGCCTCCAGGTCCCCTTGTACTCATGTGGATGTGTCGGGAAACAGACAAGGATGGTGGCTGGCCCTGGCCTGGGGACAGTCCTAGCTTTTGGTGTCACAGCACGGTGAACCTCAGAAGTGGGATCTTGACCGTTACTTGGGTTTGAACAAAGTTCATACGCACCGTTAGGAGCTCCCTTTCTTTTCCTGATTCTTTTCCACAAATGGTTGTCACTTCATCTGCATTGACCCCTTTAGAACATCCAGTAGCCAATCCCCTGGTTATTCTTTCATGCATTCGTGTATAAATACGTGTCCCCTAACTTCCAGGAAGTCGAGAATCCTATAACCCACCAGATCCTTGACCAGATGCCCACAGGGAGATTAGAGGGATCTTGACCGTTACTTGGGTTTGAACAAAGTTCATACGCACCGCACCGTTAGGAGCTCCCTTTCTTTTCCTGATTCTTTTCCACAAATGGTTGTCACTTCATCTGCATTGACCCCTTTAGAACATCCAGTAGCCAATCCCCTGGTTATTCTTTCATGCATTCGTGTATAAATACGTGTCCCCTAACTTCCAGGAAGTCGAGAATCCTATAACCCACCAGATCCTTGACCAGATGCCCACAGGGAGATTAGAGTTTAGCTGAGAGACAGGCTGACAAGCAAATAGGCACACAACTGACTGACAGGAGGATGCTTACTTTCAAATTCGTTTTCATTTAAAAGAATATCACCCCATCTCCCCACCCTAACATGGATGGGGGCTGGGGAACATCTCAAGGTCTAAGCCTCTTGTTGAGGAGGGTGGAGAAGTGTGTGGAAATGGGTGTCAAAAAGCAGGGTGGGGATACATCTTTGCCATGGGGTGTGGAGGGTTGTGGGTAAAAAGTGTTTTGATAGAAAAAAAAGGTCAAAGGGTGGGTGTTAAAGGATAGGGGTGGAGATTGGAAATGAATGGGGGAGGGACCATAATGGGGCAGGCTGTGTGGAAGGAGAGCTGTCCTGGGCTTTTATGACTTAGGGTTAGGTAAGCTAGTGGCAAGAAAGCAGCAGCCTTGTCTCCGCAGTAGGAGTACCGTATCTTCTTCTCTGCAGGAACGGAGCTTCGACTGTAAGATCTGTGGCAAGAGCTTCAAGAGGTCGTCCACACTGTCCACACACCTGCTCATCCACTCAGACACCCGGCCCTACCCCTGTCAGTACTGTGGCAAGAGGTTCCACCAGAAGTCAGACATGAAGAAACACACCTTCATCCACACGGGTGAGTCAAGGCTCCTGGCTTGTGGGACATTCCCTGAGGCCAGCATAACTCACCTTCTCTGTGATATTCTGGCCCCAATGAGTGGTGGATGATGGAGTCAATCACTGCTGTGTGTTAAAGAAGACAAAGAGGCAGATTTTCTTAGGTTCATTGATAGACACGATGCTCCCCAGAGGAGCCTTGACTGGGGGTTGTGTCTGAAGGACCTCTGAGCAGATCAGCCTGCAAGTTCTATGTTCTTGGAAAGAGTATTTTCCTCCAGTTTAGCAGCTGCTCCAACTGCTGTCTGTTCTGGTGAAATACAAAGCTCCCGGTCCTGTGAGTATTCTCTAATGTTTACCTAGAGACTATGGATTCTGCAGCTCCCATCCAGCCTTTTGGGGGAGGGACTTAATGTGGCCTCTCTGGCTGCATTTTTATGTGTCTAAGATCTTATTCCAAATGAGGAGGAAAAAACAATGGTAAATATTACTAAGCACTTTTAAAATGCATTATCTCTTTTTATGCTCACAACAAATCTGCGAGGAAGACACTGTTTCTTATCCCCATTGTGGAGATGAGGAAAGTGAAGCCCAGAAAGTTAGTAACCTGCCCAGGGTCACCCTGCTAACAAGTGGCAGTGCCAGGGCACAAATTCAGGTCTGTCTGACTTCTCAAATGTCTATGCTTGACCGCTGTTTATTTTTTTATGTTTTCAGACTCTTAGGATTTGGTAGATACAGAAAGCCTGTGTACATAATGCCTTTTTCAAAATATTAGCAAATTCATATCATAGCAGTCATAATTCCTTACCTATTACAATGTTTTCTAACTTATGAAGTGCTTTCAGGTCTATCATTTCATTTGATCCTCACTGCCACTCGTAAAGTAGAAAGACAGAGCTACTCTTTCTACCCTGAAACTCAGAGCTACTGAATGATTTACTGAAAGTCAGACGGAGAAAATGATGGAGCCAATGGAATACTCTGACTTCCAATCCTGGACTCTTCCCCTAACTCTTTATATGAAGGTGTTTTATTCTATTTATTTATTTCTTTATTTATTTATTTATTTAATCTATCTATCTATCTATTATTTTTATAGACCACAGATTAGTTTATTTTTAACACCCATCATGCCATGAATTCATAGAGAATAGGTTCCAGTAGCTCAGGCTCCTTTCAATTGGTTCTCACAAAGTGTGCTTCTCTGGGTGGAGCAGGCTGGTGCTTTAGTTGAACCCAGGTACCTTTCTCTTTGGCTTCTTTCTTTTTCTGGTCATTTTCCTTCATACGGTTTAGGATGCTATCTCTGCTCTTAGAATGCTTAGTGTGCTCAATACGCACAGTAATTCTCTTGACAAGAATCTTGCCCTTAACTTGTTTGTTCACAGCAATGCCAACAGCATGCTGGGTAACACTGTAGACCCTTCCAGTTTTGCCATGGTAACATTTGTGGGGCATTCCTTTTTGAACAGTACCCATTCCCTTAATGTCTACAATATCACGTTTCTTGTCGATTTGCATATATGTTGCCAGAGGACCCACTCCATGTTTTCTAAAAGGCCGAGAGAACATATATCGGGTGCCTCTCCTCTTTCTCTTTGTGTTCGTCATTTTGGTTAATTACTGGAAGATGGCGGTTTCGGCCAAAAAGAAGACATTTTTTTTAATTAAAAAATTATTTTATTTAACTTTTAATTAATTAATTAATTTAAGTTCGACTAGAGAGGGACAGAGTAAAAGGGAGAGAGAGAAGGTGAGAAAGTAAGTTGCCAGTTCTGGGACTTGAACCATGATCAGCTATATGGGAGTCCAGCAGCGCCCTTAACCTCCACGCCACCTGCCAGCCCCAAAGGTGTTTTATTGTTATTATTATTTTTTTATTTCATTGTATGGTGCATGTGCTGGAGAGAGAGAGGGGGAGAGAGAGAGCGAAAGTGAGAAATTCCCCCCTGGGGGGTTAGCCACACCCTAATCCCTTCTCCTCCAGTGTCCTCTCAGGATTTTGAGCATGCATACACACACACTGGCATGTTTTTCAAGTCTTGGGTCTAGGACTTGAACCACAGACTAGGCCATGAGAAATCCAGCTGCCTTGACTACCATGCCCCCAATTGGCCCACAGATGGGGATTTTAATGCCAGGAACACTCCCTTAATAGCCAACGAAACATTTTTCCTTTTTAGTTTTTTTAAGGAATTATTTTTATTTGACTTTATTTATTTATTTTAATTTGATTTTCGAGAGACAGAGTGTGAGAGAGAGACAGAGAGAGTGAAAGAGAGAAAGCAAGCCACCAGGTCTGGGACTCGAACCTTGGTGGGCCATGTGGGAGTCCAGCACCCTTAATCACCATGCAACCTGCCGGCCTCTCCTTTAGTTTTGCTGTATGATGCATGCGCTAACTGGAGAGAGACTGAGAGAGAGAGAGGACAGAGAGAGAGTGAGAAACCACCTTCCAGAGGAGTTGGTTGTGCCACAACCCTCTCTCCTCCATTCTCCTCTGGAGACCTTGTGCACACGCACACATGCCCAGTGTGATTCTCAGGCCATCAGGTCTGGGACTCAAACTGTGCAGTTAGCCATGTGGGACCCAGCTGCTCTAAACTCCATGCCACTGCTGGCCCCCAACAGAATATGTATTTGAGACCCAGAATTTGTGACAATTTTATTGCAGAATATGAATACTGAGTTAAAAACAAGTCTGAGTGTATTCCAAACACCCACCGTTGATGTTTGTTAGTACATGCGGGCAGTGTGGATAGTCCCATCAAAACCCCAGAAAAATATCCTAATTTAGTGACGTCCCCTATGTAATTTACTCCGTGTACGTAAAAGTATTCAAGGTACAAAATGCCACTAGGATCTTGACTGAAGGAAACATTAAGCCCTTATCAAACATTTACACTATAGCTAGAATTTGTTTCTCAGATTTGTTTGTCCCTAAAGGGATAGGATAAGTTTTGATGACTGATTCCTTATCAAGGAAACGGAAGCATGAAGACAGAAAGGAGTACAGCAAAGGGGCAGGTTCCTCGGAACCAGACCTCATCTATTTCCCGGTTTTCCTGAGGCTGAGCCCTGACTCTAATGCCACGCTGGGGCTCGTTGGAAAGTCATATCCTTTACTCAGGTGTTAACTAGCACGTGAGATGGCAGAAGAGATGAGACCTGTTCATGTTCTGTTATTTATCCATCTGTGGCGAGGAGTTGGCGGTATATAATCCCGTGATTAACCTCATAATAAGAAAGTAAAATCAAGACGGAAAAGTATCAGCTACTTGAAAAAATACTTTGTGTCCCACATGTGGCTTTTTTATAAAAATTTCTTTAGTATTTATTTATTTACTTTTAGTTATTATTATTCTTCAATTTGAAGAGAGAAAGAGAGAAAACTTACAAACCCGGGACTTGAACCATAGTTGGCCATGTGGGAATCCAACGCCTTAACCACCATACCACCTGTGGGCCCCTCCACATGAGGCTTTTTAAAAATAAGACTTTGAGAAATGTCCTTGCTCCCAATCCGTTTTGTGGGCCTTCAAAAACAAGAAGATAGGCTTACTGGTCTCTACAAACCAACACCCACTTGGAAATTCAGATTTAAAAACTTCTCTGAATCAGCACAGAGTCACACAGTTTGTAGGAAGCTTCCCCCTCCTCCCTGCTGTTGAACATCTGCTCCGGGTACTCTGCTCTAAAGTCCGGGAGTCCTAGAGTGGATTCAGCTGGAGGGCATGTGGCCTTTGCTGTGTTTCCCTTC